GGAATCAAGGATGGCAAAACAAAAGGCAAGGTATGCAGGACATAAGAATTGGAAAATTATTTGCTGAGGACATGTATGTTGATGTGCTTGATTGAGCCAATGCACAGTGTATTTTGGATGGAAAATTCATTTGTGTGTTGTGATGGTGTATAGTGAATTAATGTAGAAAATGAATAAATTTTTTAAAAAATCATGGAAGAAGGAAGCATGATCCAATTTTAAAACATGGAACCATTTTGGCACATATAATCTCAGGATGTCATACTTTGTTTATAAATAAGTTTATATTTTAAACATTAAATTATGGAACCAGCAGGTGGTACCATGGTTAGGGCACTGGAATCTCACGTGGTTGACCATGGTTTTAATCCTGGGCCTGGTGACTTGTTTTCTCACTTTCCCTCTTTCTCTTGCTCTCTGTCTCCCTTTGGTGAGTACACATGCCTCAGAGCAAACCTGAAAATAATGATAATAAATAAAATAAAATAAATAATTTTAAAATAAAAGTAAATTCATAAACTATATGTAATACATCTTTATCAAAAGAGACAATACATTAGATAAATACTTTGAGAAAAACAAGTAAAAATAACATACATATATAAAAATAAAGATCAGAAAGTTAATTTCCATTTTATTTCTACTTGTACTAGCAATAACAACATTTGATTTGCACTTTGAGCAAGTTTAAAGTCGACTCTTGGAAAAGCAAGTAGTTTTGTCTAAATGTTTACCTAGATATGTTAAAGATGAGAGTGCTTTTATTCTAAAAATGTAAAAACTTAAAGAACAGTTATATATACAATAAAAGTTCATAATTTTTTTACAAAATCATATAATAAATTCTAAAATAAGAGACTAACATGCTTTATTAAAAATCTCCTTAATGAGGCCTGTGAGTGGTATGGTGGTTATGCATATGGACTTAACATGCTTGACTGCACTTCGAGTCCCAGACCTGAGAGCTTGCTTTTTCACTTTCCTCTCTCCCTCTCTCTCTCTCACTGTCTCTCTCTCATAAGCTCTCATGACCTATAGCAAATTGAAAACAAAATAATAGTAGGCAAAATTAAATGAATAAGTTTTCAAAACACTCTTTAGTGTAATGGATATATGGCCTATTGAATAAGAGTTGAATTCCACATGGCCCAAGTCCCAGACCTGGAAGCTTGAGAAACATGCCACACATATGTATATGCATACATTCCCAAAATTCCCCCCATAGGGGGATGCTTTTTTCTCATCTCTCACAGTCTGTCTCTCTCTTCTAAGGATACATGCCCAATAGGAATAGAAAATATACTTACAATTTAAAAGTTGGGGACAGCAGATAGCATATTGGTTATGTCACTGAACTCCCATGTAGTTGACCGTGGTCCAAGTCTCAGACCTAGAGGCTTTAAACTCATGCAGGGGTGTGTGCGTTCATGCCCAAAATCCCAAGAGGAGAATGGAGAAGGGATTGCAGCATGATCATTCTACCTGGGGGTGATTTCTTACTTTCTGTCTCTCTGTTTCTCTCTGTCTCTCTGGCAAGCACACATACCCTATAGCAAAAATCTCTCTAAATAAAAAAGAATTTAAATGTTTTAAATGTATATATATGTTACAAATTGTTTCTTCTTATGTCACATGACAGTAACACTTTTACTAAAAGAAGTCCAAAATAAATAAATTAAAATTGTATCCAAAAATTGTACATATTTAATATACACTTTTGGCTCAACTTGTAGAACTGTATAACTTTATACTACCACTACCACTATGAAGAATCTAAAGCGTTTTTTTTTTTCTTTTTTGGGAGAGGTTTTTGCTATAGGGCTTGTGTGCTTGCCAGACAGACAGAGAGAGACAGAGAGATAGAAAGCGAGAAATCATCCCCCAGGGGGGATGGCCACACCACAATCCC